TGGCGTTGCTACTACAAATAGTCTCGGTGGGAGAATATCAATTCTCATTTGAAGTATGTTTACATTTACAGTTTTGGTTCGATTTTTGATGGCAATGGATCGATGCTGATATCTACAAAACATCTTTTTATGTTCGAGGTGCGCTAAACAAGTAACATTGTATTTTTGACACATATCTATCACTATGTAGTTAATTACCTGGTACTAGGCTTTCGGAGGGCAACACGAGATCCATGGTATCAGAGAAGGGTTCCCCGTCTTCTGGACAGACGAACCAGTCAGTTTATCACGATAGGACTTCTGCTAACGCCTCCTCGCCTCACCAGCAGTGCGCGTGATGCATCACGACGCTGTGACTGGTTGCTCAGACAGCACCGGCTCGCACAGATGCGCGCAGCAAGAAGTCAGCCAGTCATGGCGTGTACGTGGACTGTTCGACGTCCGCCTAGTCTCGGGGTTCAAATCATTTAATTTCTGCAACCGACGCTGAGGGCGACCACTTCACATAATAACATCGTTCACGTACGCTCAGACTATATGAAAGATGAGCTAATATCATTATCTTCCATGCGTTGAGAAAAAGGAATGTGTGTTTGGTGATTTTTCTGGTTTGTTTGTGTGTGTGTGATGTTGTGTGTGTGTGTGTTGTGATGTGTGTGTGTGTGTGTGGTGCGTGTGTGGGTGTGTTCTGTGCGTGATGGCGTGTCGTGCGTGCGTGTGTAACGGCGTGTGTGGTGTGTGTGTGTGTGTTTTTGTGTGTGTTGTGTGTGTGGGTGTGTCCGCGTGATGTTCGGTCGTGTCGTTAGTGTAAAGATAGTCTATCTACTACAGTAAATGAGTGTATATCACAAGTAATTGAGGAAATAAGTCCTTACCTAGAGCATATTCGAGGAATATATTCAAGTTATACTAGATTTATAATAGATCTCTCTTGTATCTCACCGGTGTGTTGTAGATTGGCCTCCACAGACGCATATCTCAGCCTCATTCCCATCAATGATGTCAAAGGCCATCGATTCATCGAGAGTAAGAGAAATCTGAATAAAGAAATTTACAGCGAGTTCATTAATTATGTGATAGGTTATCTAACTATAATTGTATAGCTAATTCTTGAAATATTACGTATTATAATTAATCTATACTACGATACTTTAATACCCTCTCTTACATCGATATACACCACGATATCGAACCTAAGAACACTGCAATATTTCGTCCGTCGCTCATACCATCTACACAAACACGTACAACGACCCGGACAATACAGTACATATAATGGAATA